CAAGAGACATGATCAGACTCCCCATCTGACCCGCCGTGACCACCGCGCCATCTAACGGCCCGATTCCGAAGTAATATCCAGGATTGGCTCTGTATGTCTACTGTAGCATATCGGCCAAGAAAGTTTCCACTCCGACTGTACAAAACGGGCCAATCGCACCGCGCATTCTATGCACGATGGAGCTTCGCCCTCCATTGCCTCTAAAGAATCTCCGTTCAATATTATGAGAACGCGAAGACCATATAAACCATGAGCTTTTCAGTGGTGCAACTGTAGTATTATTTGGGCTGACAATCAAGAAGATACGCGCATAGCAACTATTTGAAAGTGTCAGATTTTTGTTACAACGTTGGCAGTATTGATCAAACTGAGCCTCATATTCGATGTCGGGGTGTTGCCACCAGTGCATTCAAATGTGGGTTGTGATATTGTTATAGAGAACTACGGGAAACTTTTTTTGACACTGCTACTACGTTCACCTCCTGTCAAAATATGCCTTTTTGTTTACTTGTAACCGAATAAGGCACAGTTTGGCCACTCGCCGAACGTAACGTCACTGTCAAACGATATTGTTTGACACACACAGAAAACGCTGTACAGACTATCCGCATAAGTGTGCAGATAATCTGCATAGTTATGCGGGATTCACACATAAGCCGAAGTCACTTTCTTATGTGCAAATCATGCATAAATAGTGCAGATTATCCACATACCTATGCATGAAATACACAATTTTTATGCGGATTATCTGCACATCTATGCATACTTTCCGCACAGATTTGGCATGATTTACATATAAGGGCAAAATTTTGATGAGGATACGTCTATGTTTTCGTTATGAGGAGTCGTTTTGTGAAATTGAGCTTACAGGTCTAGATTTTTCTAGAAAGTTCAAGGGACTTCAGGGAGTTTCTAGAAATTTCGAAAGAATTCAAGGAGTTTCTAGAAAATTCTAAAATGTTCAAGAAATTTTTAGAAAATTCAACAAAATGCATGGAGTTTCTAGAAATTTTGAGGGAATTCAAGGAGCTTTGAGAAATTTCGAGGGAATCAAGAAATTTCTAGAATATTCGAGGAAATTCAAAGAGTTTCTAGAAATTTCGTTGGAATTCTAGGAGTTTCTAAAAATTCCGAGGAAATTGAGAAACTTCTACAAATTTGGAGGAAATTCAGGGATTCTTAGAAAATTTTAGGGAATGCAAGGAGTTTTTAGAAATTTCGAGAAAATTTAAGGAGTTTCTAGAAAATTCAAGGAAATGCAAGAAGATTCTAGAAATTTCGAGAAAAATCAGGGAGTTTCTGGAAATTTTAAGTGAATTCAAGGAGTTTCTAGAAACTCTGAAAAAATTCCCGGAATTGCTGAAAAATTGACTAGAATTCTTAGGTG